TGTTTCTAGTGGCATGCAACTATGTTTATCAATACAATGTAGCACCTATCTACTAAGAGTTTCTCAGTTGCTTTGTTGAATAACTGGTTGGTTTTGATGATTGGAGCTTCTCCTTGGATACGACTTACACATTACCATTGAGGTATTAATGTTCATAAGTTCAGCAAAAAAAATGTTTTTTGGCTTGCTGAGTGCTCAATCTTTCTCTATCCTGTGTCTGGACCAGTAACAAATGATAGCAAAATGGAGACATGTTTGGTTTGTAATTGCTTTTTCTTCCCATCTATAGGTGGTTGTAACTTTTGCTATTAATTATTTGGCCCTATTTACCTGAAACAAAAATCGTTTCAAAAACAAGATGCAGACTTCTATTGTATATACTATGGTCCTGTTTCCAAAGAAGATCACATACAATACATATAGGAGCCACAATGAAGTGTTGCCCATTCGTTTCCAATCCGTTTTCACTAGCATTGAGGGGGAACAAATTGGCTGCACTTTTACTGGGTGATGAGTTTTAAGACTCAAGTGTTTGTATAGAGGTATATGTTAGCTCCCAAGTAAAATAGGGTTGATCTGCAGGATATGCTGATTTATTTTCTATCATTCACCATCCCAACCATTTCAAATTAAACGCAGAGCTAAATATTTCTATCATTTCTGCCATGGGGGTCAGGACAAAAGTTTTGTGACTTGGTCAATGCAAGTGTGCTTCAGTTTTGTCCCTAATTTTGCCATTTAGAGGCTTATTTTCCTATCGATATGTTTTACTGCATAAAATGTTTTCTCCATCTTCTTCTTACAGTAGCTTTGTTCCATATAAAACTGAGGTTCTATTTATGATTTCCATTTTAGGGTGTGGTGATTGATCAAATCCGAGCTTCTGTTTCTGCCAATGGGAGGAAAATATATATCTACCTAGGAGATGGGAGAAATGATTTTTGCCCAACTTTAAGGCTTGTAGAAGGAGACCATGTAATGCCAAGGAAGGACTATGCTCTATCGAAGCGCATTTACAGCAACCGAATGCTTATCATGGCTGACATCCATGAATGGAGTGATGGAGAGGAGCTTGGGAAGATATTGCTTCACCTCATCCACAGAATTTCTACTGAAGAAATTAATTGTAGTGACCTCAGTCAGCTGAACTCATCTGACCACATATGACAGCCAATGCCTGATGAAGCACTCCCTCAAACTCTCCCTGTTCGTCACTAGCAATCGAAGGCGGAAATTGCTTTCTGATAGAAAGCAATTTTTCCTGTGACTTAAATTTAAGCAACACAGATTTGAATGTATTTTGGACCATTAATATTAGACTGTTGCTTCTGATCAAATTAAGAGTGGCTGGTGAGTGTTGAGAGGGTATGCATTTTTTGGATAAGCTAAGAAAAATACATTCTATATCAACTCTTTTCTTCTTCTGTTTTCTGTAGTTTGCAGGTTTTATTGATATCTATGTTATCTGAATCTATGCCCAATGTCTATATAATTTTGGTTTATTAAATTCACATATGCTGGCACGTGTTACACGGTCCATTGTTGTTGCTACTAGCTAGCAAAATAATCAAATTAACCATCATAGTCATTGTTCATGATGACGCTAATCACACTGAAGTCAAAATTGAACAAAGGGGGGAAGTCTTTGATTTCATTCAATTTTCTAATGATGGTGTGCTTGTATAACTTGTGACTGAGAAAGTAGATGGATTTGATTTGATTTTTATTTATTTTTAATCTGGCTATATGGACTTGTTTTGACTTGCCACATAAGCCCATGATTGAAACTGGCCCAGTAATTGGACGGTCCTGATTGTGAGATTCTTCTATAATTTGAAACAAATAAAATAGAACTGAAAGTAGCTGAACATATCTCTGCAAACCAATAATTCTTTTTCTTACATAGAAAGAGAGGGAATCCAAGTCAAGCGTGTGGTTCTCTTACTTGTCCGCTGTCCTCTCCCATACATATAAAATCCATAAAACACATCGAGAAACGTTTCGATTCTTTTCTCTCTTTCTCTCTCTCTTCTCTGCGCCAACTCCTCCTTCAATCAGCTACCCAGAATCTCTCTCTCTCTCTCTCTCTCTCTCTCTCTCTCTCTCTCTCTGTTTCTCTCTCTCTCTCTCTCTCTCTCTCTCTCTCTCTCTTTCTTCAGAGGGTGCTGCAATGGCAAAGAAGAGAGAAGAGAGAGAGATGAATACCTACCTGGATGGGATAATAGAGGCCATGCCTGTGTTTGCCAAGGAGCTGATTGCTGGTGGTGTTGCGGGTGGTGTTGCAAAGACTGTTGTTGCACCACTTGAGCGTATCAAGATTTTGTTTCAGGTACAATTGTGTTAAATTCTCCTTCAAAATATGGACTTAGATTGATTCTTTCCTTTTTTTGCTGTGAAAGTGGCTAAAGTTGACTCTTGATTTTGGGCACTGTAAAGATTGGTATTACATTTGGCTTCTTGGGTGTTTGAGTTTCTGGGATTTATTCAGTGGGTAGATTTCATCTAAGATGACTGCTTTTTACTGAACTGGTGCAAATTTTATGGATTGTGAAATTGGTTTCTGTTGTTGGGTGTTTGCTGGTCTCAGATTGAATAATACTGTGATCATTAGAAGTTCAATGGGTTACTTTATTTGATTCGATTTTTCGATACTTTGTTCTCCATGACTTTGTTTTATAGAGGCAGTCATGGGGTCAATAGTATACAAACTGAATTTCAGGAGTTCCAAGCAAGAAAATCCGAGTTAACTTTCCTTCTCCGACCCAAAAAGGAAAAACAAAAGAAGAGAACTTGTAAGGTTTTTTGAGAGATAGATAAATAGCTTATTTAACACGTGCCTTGATTTTGTGTGTGGTTTTTCTGTTTTTTCTTCCTCCTTGAGTGGGAAACTGGAGGTTAAAATATTCCTTCATGTTTCCCATGGCGATTAGAAACTAATCATTAACTTAAACTGGATTTACCATTAAGCAGATTATCCTTGAAGATTGAAATTATTTGTTTGTTGTCTTTTGCAGACCAGAAGAGCAGAGTATCAGAGCATAGGGCTGTTTGGATCCATTAAGAAAATTGCAAAGACAGAAGGGCCTTTGGGTTTCTACAGGTGGATCCCTGAGTACATAAACATTTATGTGAAGGTTGTGTTTTCAAGTTTTCAATAACTAATATATTTTCATACAGAGGAAACGGAGCTAGTGTTGCAAGAATTGTTCCCTATGCAGCTTTGCATTATATGACTTACGAACAATACCGCAGATGGATTATTCTCACCTTTCCTGACGTGGGGCGTGGACCTGGTCTAGATCTTGTGGCAGGGTCTTTTGCTGGAGGAACAGCTGTGCTTTTTACTTATCCTCTTGATTTAGTTCGGACTAAATTGGCTTATCAGGTAACTAATTGAATCGTGAAAAATCTCTCACTCAAGTGCATGAATTAGTTGCTCTTTACACTTCCAAGAAACTTTTTTTTGACAAAAGCCATGTTTGTTTTGCAGGTTGTTGGTTCACCGAAGTTAAATGTGCAAGGGGTAGTAAATACTGGACAAATTTATAAAGGAATTCTTGATTGTTTCTCGAAGACTTACAGAGAGGCTGGGCTTAGAGGCCTCTATCGCGGTGTTGGTATGGATTTGAAAACTGCTTGTATCATCCACTGCTGTCATTGTGTGTTTCTATAGTTGTTAAGATGTTTGCAACAATTTTGCATTTAACGCATTAACATCATTATCAGCTCCATCACTTTATGGAATCTTCCCATATGCCGGTTTGAAGTTTTACTTCTATGAGGAGATGAAGCGCCATGTCCCTCAGGAGCACAAGAAGAGTATTATGGTCAAACTTGTATGTGGTTCTGTTGCTGGTCTATTAGGTCAGACTTTTACATATCCCCTCGATGTGGTGAGGAGGCAAATGCAGGTAATGTACTTTATAAGGGTCCTTAAAATACTATTTGACAGAAAATTTTGTGACATTGATGGGTGAAAATCATCTGAATAGGTTCAACGAATCGTGCCATCAAACAGTCCAGAGATGAAAGGGACAATGGAAGTCCTTGTCATGATCGCTCAAAAGCAAGGATGGAGGCAATTATTTTCAGGACTTAGCATCAATTACTTGAAGGTGGTAAAAACCTAGTCAGTCTTTTCACAGAAAATCCCTTGGCTTTCTTGTCTAATCATGTTTTGGGATGTTGTAATTCAGGTCGTACCATCTGTAGCAATCGGGTTTACAGTTTACGATGTTATGAAGTCCTACCTTCGAGTTCCTTCAAGGGATGAAGCTGTGACAAAATTGGTAACCAACAAAAGAAATACCCATCCATCCTCCCTTCACTCCTAGTTACTTTTTCTTCCAATTTTTCACTTCAAGTAACAGTCCTGCACAAATGATTGGGAGCTTTTCCTTCCCTTTTGAATTGTCAATTAGGTTGACTTTTTGTACCATTCATGCCATTTTCAGCTGTACATTTCATTCTTTGAAGATGAATAATAACCCCTCGGTAGGTTAAACCCCTCCCTTACACATCCTACAAGCTCTAGTTTCATTGATTAAGTTAGCAGAAATCATCAATTAGGTTACCTTGTATATTTAGGAGAGACGATTCTCTTGCAATGTACATATGGAGAATTTTGACCCCTGTAATCGTTCTATAATTGAATAATAAGGTTTGAGTAATCTTACTAGCTTTTCTTGTCTCTTTAAGATATTGGCTTAAGAACTTGAAATGCATCTGTTCAATGTTTTATTTACCACTACCCCCCAGGAAGCAGATTCCATTTTTGCCATTTTCTTTTCCTGCGAATAAAGGGCGGAAAAGGAATTCATTCTTCACTACTGGCACAGCCCCCAGAAGCAGATGCCATTTTAGGTAAAAGATGAAAGAAGCAAAAAGGAATCATACAAGGCACCTTCCAACTTTTGAACCTTGGGCTTAATATTGAAAACAATCGACCAGATTATGCTCAGAAATAAATCTGAGAATCAATCAGCAAGTAAACAGAAACATAATCGTAAATTTGTTTTCTATTGAATGTAATTGAATTTAAATACAAGATTAATGTACAAGAAAAGATATTCATAAAAAAACTACAAAGTTAATTTCCGGCCAAAAAACTTCCTTTGATTTTTCATGCTGCACATTGAACATTACATAACGTAGCACCACAGCCTCGACTCTTGTAGAGAAGCTGTATGCACTAGCTGCTGATAAGTTTACCAGTAATCCCCACAGGAGCATTTCCCATCCTTGAAATGATGGAACCGCTTGTTATCCCTAACGATGAGCTCCCTCCCAACAATCTTTGACATGATTTTTATTGCATTATGGCAGTCGCCGCATATTCGAAGATTCTTAATTATCCTTAGAGTTTGCCTGGCTGGAGTACTGATCAGACCATAAGCAATTGCCAAACGCTCGCTGTGATACTGCAAGGCCTGCTCTTTTGCCTCCTGATCAATGTCATGAAGCACATATCTTGTATCTGGCACATAGCCTGCTTCCCTCATCTGTCCTTTCAAACCTTTCAGTTTCTCATATGCCTCGTTTGTAATCCGATACTCACTCACCCTATTCTTCTCCTCTAGCATGTTAATCTCAGAGTGCTTCTTCCGCGGAGGCAATGGGATTTTTTCAGCATTGGCCTTAGAAGGATCGAGACTAACCAACAAATCCTCAGCGCGATCTTCAAGCTCCATGTCTCCATGAATCTGTGCAAAGTTTCGAAGAGCCTCCCAAACTTCTGCAGTAGGCTCAAATGGCATTTTCCCAATGAATTCCTCTGCCTCATTCAAATGACCAGACTTTCCAAGAACATCAATAAGCCCTAAATAATGCTCAATCTCCGGCACAATCTCATACTCATTCTTCATCAACTCGAAGTACGTTAACCCTTCTTCCACAGCTTCCGCGCTAGCACATGCCGCCAAAACCACTACAAATGTCTCCTTATTGGGCTTCAATCCTAAATTCCTCATTTGTTCAAACAACAGCAGCCCCTCATCACCCTGCCCATTCACTGCATACCCATGTATCATTGAATGCCACAAACTCATACTCCGCTCAGGCATTCGATCGAACACCTTGCGTGCATCTCTCATACTCCCACATCTTCCATACATTTGAATCAATTTAGCGTTCAACTCAATATCTCCGCGAAATGGCGACTGTTTCATAAAATCATGAATCTTTTTCCCAACCTCAAGCGACTTCGAGCTGTCACACGATTCCAATAACACACAAAATACACCATAATCAGCGGAAACATCTTGAGCCATATACTGCAACGCCTCTTTGACCTTACCCTCCTTGCACAAACGCATCAAATCCACATCTTTTGTGTTAATACGCAATGGGGCACTCACATTTTGGTTGTTTAACTCATCACCGTTCGGTTTTGGTTCATTTGGTTGCTGGTTCTGGTACTTGTTGCCCTTGCGTAAAGGTTGGGTCTTGTACTGGGAATTGGAGCGAGATGTTGTGGGTTGGGGCTGAGAGGAGCCAGTGTTGCGGCGATGTACTCTGGGATTATTGGCGCTGGGAACTGCATTGGTGCAGAGAGGTTTGGATGGTGTGGGATTGAAGGAAGAGGAAGGTGTGGTTTTGAGGACCGAAGGAAGAGTGGTGTTGAGATAGAGCTTATCAGGAGGGCTTGGAGTTATCCGAGCTCTGAAACGAAAAGAGATAATGGAGTTTCCAGTTGGCTGAAGAGAAGAAGTCAGAGAAGCCATTGATGTGCTAAAACTCTGCTACTATTGGAAAAGCAGAAAGAGGGAAGAAGATGTTAAGTGATGGGATAATGGGGTCATTGGTCGATGTGGGCTTTGAGTAAACTCAAAGCCATGTCAATGCAGCAAGAGTTATATTGCCCAGGTAAGGGATTATTTTTTAACTGTTGGATCAAATTGATTAACTGTTGGATCAAATTGATTAGTCTGATCAAACAGTTAAGATATAGAACCTTTATTTTTTAACTGTTGGATCAAATTGATTAGTCTGATCAAACAGTTAAGATATAGAACCTAACCTAAGGGCCATAGAATGACTCGTCAATGCGATTTGAGGCAAGCCGACAGGATCTTAACCCCAGTAAAAAAGGACATGAGTTGCAAACTAGTTTCGAACCCACATCATACCAAAGCCCACCCACATTTGCACAATCTACCTTCGCAAAATACCTTTGGTCTTGAAATTCAACTCTTGTCAAAGTCTATTTACTTTTAATTTGTTCATTCATTCTTTCACTTAGCTTAAGCTCTCTGCTTTTTTGATTGTCCCATGCTCTAATCCAAGGCTCAACAAGGTTTAGATAATCTCCTTTTTAAAAGAAGAAGAAAACAAAGTACAAAAACAAAGCATTATTACATTCTCAAAACATTAGAGGCAATTAGCGTAACGATAAACAACTCACATAACTATCACAAGTTCACAACCCTTATTCTTATATAATATAGTCAGACCACTCGGAAATAAACGACGTATGGTCCATGGACTCGCCAGGCACATCCTCAAGCTTCGACGGCCGTTCCTTCCCGCCAACCAACCTCGCCGGATTCCCAACCGCCGTCGTCCTCGGCGGCACATCAATCAACACCACCGATCCGGCCCCGATCTTCGCCCCCTCCCCTATCTTCACATTTCCTAAAATCGTCGCGCTCGCGCCGATCAAAACCCCATCGCCGATCTTCGGGTGCCGATCTCCGCCGGCCTTGCCGGTCCCACCCAGCGTCACGTGGTGAAGTATCGACACGTTGTTTCCGATCACCGCCGTCTCCCCCACTACCACCCCGGTGGCGTGGTCGAACAGCACCCCCTTTCCGATCCTCGCCGCCGGGTGTATGTCCACCGCGAACACGTCGGCGATCCGCGAGTGCAGCGCAAGTGCTAAGGGCCTGCGTGACTCGATCCACAGCTTGTGCGCCACTCGATGAGCCTATAAATCAAATAAAACAAAATCAATTCGTTTATTTTCTTGCGTTTTCTCGGAATCAAAACAGGAAATTAACTTGTAGACCTAAAAATCAAATTAATTACCTGACAGGCTAAGAAGCCCTTGTAATTGAGCAAGCAGTGGGAGAAGGAGACGCAGGCGGGGTCGCGCTCGCGGGCGGCGCGGAGATCGGCAACGGCGGCGGCGAGCAGAGAGGGGTCGGAGGAGAAGGTGTTGAGGAAGAGGTCGTAGAGGAGCGTGGAGAGGAGAGTGGAGGAGCAGAGCTTGTTCCCCAAGTGAAACGACAGGGATCGCTTCAACGACGAGTGGGAGAGTATCGTAGAGTAGAGGTAGCTGGCCAGGGCCGGTTCGGCCTCGGCGTCCCGGCGCGCCTCGGCCTTGATCTGGGCCCACACCCACGCCTCGCCCTCGACTTCGGAGGACGACTCTGTGTATCGGAGCTCGCCGGCTGGCATCTTATCCGTTGATGTTTATCGCTACTACGGCGCACGATAGTTGAGAGCAGTGGAGAAATGGTGGTTTGTGAAAATGGGGGATATGTGGTTGTTTATTATATTTGTGTTTTGTGTGGTTTAATTAATTACATGGGTTGCTTTAGGGAAAAATCAGGTGGCGGAGGATCTAAAAAACCCAAAAAGAGACAATCCAATTCATTCTTCTCTCTATCTTTTGTTCCAGATGTCACATAAAACGGAAAGAAAAAAATCTAGTTATTTTATCTTATCTTATATTTGCAAAGAGATGCATTCCTAACTAGAGAAGGCTAATTAAAATACAACGGGTGGCCTTGACTTGCTGACCAGTAATCTCCGATTCAAATCCTATGACACTTTGGCAGTATGTCCCTTCGTTAGTATAAAAAATAAATAAAAACCCAAAAATAACAAATCATGACTTAAAAGGAGAAAAACAAAAACATAAAACATGGGATGAAATTACACAAAAGGATATCAAATATGACAAAAAAAGTCAAACCAAATTCATACCCAATTTCTTTTAGGCCAATACAACATTATTTTAAAGGGTATGTAATAATTTGATATAGAACGCTACAACATTATCTGATAGGCATAACAATCAACAACAAATTGAAGCCTGGATCACCAATTTCTACAATCTATTTTCAGAGAGAGAAGAAAACCCTAAGTGGATTTACTCTACTTCCCTTGTGTTATGTTGCTTCCCAGCTCCTTTCGTGAGTAGTTTCACATAGAGATCTTTTCTGTAAGTAAGGACACATAATTTTGTTTTTGCTGTCACAGCACCTTCTTCCACTTCCTACAATAGGATGCCTTGTGCAAAAATATCCATCACCTACATCCACCACTACCCCACATGTAGTATCATAGCTTTTATTGGACTGTCAAAACTTGAGCTTGCACTTCTCCAAATTTACATAATGCAGATGAATTCTGCTCATAGTTTGAAGCCACATCATGCACATATTTTAGTTTAGCTTCGTTCACCTAATAAGAGTTGGGGTTCTTGATTCTTTTCCCTTTATGCTCATCACATCTTTTCCTCCCTTGGATCGGATGCCTTCTGCAAGAAGAGCCATCAGCCAAGATGAATCCACAAATGGAAGTAAAGCTCTCTACTGGATCACGGTTAATAATTTGAGCATCATGAAACTCTATGCTGCTAATAGCACTGCATTCTGATTCTGAGTCAACGGTGCTATTTGATATCCCAACTCTAGTTGAACTATTAATCCTCACCCCTTTGTGGTTAGCACACCTCTTTCTTCCTGGAACTGGTGGCGTTCTGCAAATGGAGCCATCAGCAAAGATGAATCCACAAATGGAAGTGAAGCTCTCTACTGTATCACGGTTAATAATTTGAGCATCATGAAACTCTATGCTGCTAATAGCACTGCATTCTGATTCTGAGTCAACGGTGCTATTTGATATCCCAACTCTAGTTGACCTATTAATCCTCATCCCTTTGTGTTTAGCACACCTCTTTCTTCCTGGAACTGGTGGCATTCTGCAAACGGAGCCATCACCTACATCCACCCCACAAATTGTAGTATTCTCCTGAGTAGTGCCAATTCTATCCAAAACTAACCTAGGCTGTGATCTGCCAAGCTTGAAAACTCGAGAAAGGGGATTGTGGCTCTCCCTATTAGCATAAGCACTGAACCTATCCTCTGGTGAAAGCAATTTGCTTGATTCAATCCTAGTACCCACTTTCTTCGAACTGAAAGGCACAAGCTTCTGGGCAATATTAACAAATCGTGTAGTGCTTGAAGATACTATCTTAAGTTTTTGAAGGACATCATCGGGGCGTCTTGCCCCATTAATGTTTGTGTTCCATGCATAATCAAATGTGTTAAGCAGCTGAGTTTCTGTTTTCAGCGCAACACTTTTGTTTTCCATCTGTAGATACAATCAACAAAGAAACGATAAGGGCATATCATATATTCCAATCACATGGCCAAAGTTGCACCCAGAAGTGCTTCAGAATTCATAAATTCCAATTACATATCAGATATTCCAGTCCACACATGCATAATGGCAAGCACATGATCACTATTTACCATGTATGTGCATGTATGAGAATCCCAAGTTAACACAACTAAAAGCCTCGAGTTGTATAAAAGATAGAAAAATTTCATACAAGTATAGCTTCTGTCTAATTATGATGGTCCCATATATGTAGTAATGGTATGAACATGAAGGTGGACGAAAACCCTGAAGTTAGAAATTTATGAAGCAATCAACTATCCAGCTTGCAGCATCTGATCTTTACAGGAGATGATAAGGACTCTTTTGGCAGCCACTGATCAAATATCCATCAGTCTCAACCAGTAGAAGGGCATCCACATAATATGCATGATAAACTAGTATAGCCATCCATGACAACAAGGAAGAATAAAAGTGGTAACTTAATAAATGCATGATACATCTAATTCAATGTTCAATCACACAAAAAACCCTAGTAAAGTTCAAACTTCTTTAAAGGATCAAAATTTAGATAAACTTACAGGAGCCCATCTGTACACAATGGGGTAGTCTCTTGACAGTATCTCAGCAAACAATCCCGGCCCCTTTTGGACACGGTCACTAGGATGACCAGTTGGGCAGCCATTGCCCAAATGAGCTCCTGAACGACCATATTGCTGAAGTCGTGTCCTCACATTATCAGCTTGTCCAAGGTACACTGGGACTATATAGTCTGGGTCAAGCTTGCCAATCTCACGGCCTAAACCAGTACGCAAGACTGCAATGCCAAGTTCATAGACACCTGGACTCTCGTTTTTAGGGAGGTTATGAACCCTGTATCTTTCAGCCCCTTCTCTTCCCAGTGAATAGTCTTCCCAATCAGAAGGACCAACCAGAATCTAAAATTCCCAACAAAAATGTAGAAACAAAAACACCCATGTTGTAAATACCATATAAAACTGGATTTTGGAATCTGGGTACGTAGTGGGAGTAAATTTGAGATCTTTCAACAGAGAAACAAAAACCCAGAAATCTAATTTGAAGATACAGCTAGTCAGTCAATAAAATGAGTAGAGGACAGAGAAAGTAATCAAAATCTCCAAAGATTTCAAATTACAGATCAAGTAAAAAATCAAAATTTCAATTCCAATTCCAGTTCCATCAGGTGAGGCAGAGAAATTACCTTCCAATTGGAGAAGTGAGAGTCGTGTTTGGTGCGCTTGCAATCTTCTCTCTTCAACCTTGTCACAGCAACGGTCAAGTCGCCGGCTCCCATTTGAGGCTTTGTGCCCCCTTTGCCAGAAAATGACCGTTAATCGCGCCCTTTATCAACGCCGAAATGATCTCCTTCCGAAAATACCACTTTGCCCATATAAAATTGAGCCGCATCCAACCCCAAACTGGGCTGTGGACTGGCCCAGACCAAGTGACAACTTTTTTTCT